CTGCTACGACAAAAGTGTCATACGTGATCTTCCTGCAAGCACAAGTGTGACTACAGGCCTTGTTTGGCGCTGCATCAAAAGGTTGAGAGATGATTCCTGGACTGTTTAGCAGGAAAAATGTCCGGAGCCAGAATTTTCTATAAATTAAGGGACACCATGGAATGTTCTGTGAAAGGTCATTTGTGGAATAAGAGCATTGCTAATCAGGAGGGATTTTTCAGAAAACATTTGGTTCACATTCCTCTTTAGGAAAAATTAGCTGTACATCATTCTTTGCACAGAAGCATCTACTCTCTGCTTAACACAGGCTTTTCATGACCCCACAGGTTGACATTTTCTTGCCTGTCAGAGTGGATGCATTTGGTATTGCTACCCAACACACTGAGTGGCTTAAAGCAACACACATTCCTCATCTTGCTGTTTCCATGGTTGGGAGTCCGGTAGGCTGTGATCCCAGCTCAGCAACTCACAGACTGAAACCCAAGTGTCTGTGAGCTGTTCCTTCTGGAGTCTGGGGACCCCTCTCAGGCCCACATGTTGTCAGCAGGATTCAGTTCCTTACAGTTGTAAAACTGAGGCCCCCATTCTCTTGCTGGTTGTTGGCTGGAAGCTTCTCGCAGTTTTTAGAGACCATTCAGAGTTCCTTGCCACACGGCACCTTTCGTCTTCTAAAGTGCTACAGAGAACTTCCTCAAGCTCTAAAATTTTACAGCTTCACGAAAGGATCAATCTCTTTCAAGAACTTGTCTGGGGCCAGCTCTGTGATACTGTGGGTTAAGCCACCAGCTGCAATGCTGCATATGGGCACTGGTTCAAGTCCCAGCTGTTCCACTTCCAATCCACTCCCTGCTGGTGGCCTGGGAAAGCAGTGAAGTATGACCCAAGTGCTTGGAGACTCATATGGGAGATCAAGATGAAACTCCTGACTTTGGCCTTGCCGAGACTTGGTCCAGCCCTGGCAGTTGTGATCATTTTGGGAGTGAACTGGCAGATGAAAAAAAAAAATCTGCCTATCTCTTTCTGCTATTTTACCTTTCAAGTAAATAAATATTTACAGAAAGAAAGAAAGAAAGAAAGAAAGAAAGAAAGAAAGAAAGAAAGAAAGAAAGAAAGAAAGAAAGGAAGGGAAGAGACAAAGAAAGAAAGAAAGAAAGAAAGAAAGAAAGGAAGGAAGGAAGGAAGGAAGGAAGGAAGGAAGGAAGGAAGGAGCTCATTGGCTTAGGTCAGGTCCACCAAGTTTCCCTTTTGATGGACTCAGCTGAAAACATGTTGACTACTCTGCTAAAGTCCTTGTTGCCATGACATAACGTAATCGTAGGAGTTGTAGTTACCTTGTTTATAGACTCTGCCTACACCCAACTGGAGGGGACTATACACGGGCAAGGTCCTTGGTGGGGTTCTGTATTAGGTACCCCTCACATTAGGTAGTTAGACAGTCCTTCTACAAGGAGAACAAACCAAGCTGGAGCCTACAAGGTTCTGTTTTTCCTTCACATCAGTTACTCAGCTATTGGAAGACATAGCCACCACTAGTGTTCTTTTGGAAATTGTCCCAGTTTATTTTAAACAATCTGATTTGTGATATACAGATATCCTTCCAAATACATTCTACTTCTTGAACTTTCCCTGCAAGTTTAAGTCTTAGAATTAAATAGAACTCCCTAGGAATTTTCTAAGACATACAGACTATGCACAGCTATTGTTATTTTGTCCATTCTTCAGAATAGAAGACAGACTTCTATTAAAGCATCCGAGGACTCATTCTTTTTTTTTTTTTTTTCAGATGTATTTATTTTTTTGAGAGCCACTATGGCTGGAGCTGAGCTGGTCCAAAGCCAGGAGCCAGGAGTTTCCTCCGGGTCTCCCACGTGAACACAGGGGCCCAAGTGCTTGGGCCATCTTCTACTGCTTTCCCAGGCCATAGCAGACAGCTGGATTGGAAGAGGTGCAGCCAAGACTAGAACCAGCACTGCAAGCAGAAGATTAACCTACTGTGTCATAGCACTAGCCCCCAAGACTAACTCTTTATAGCTACATCACACTGACAATCACAGCTCAGCTGTAATCAAATCAAGTACTTCAATTGTTTTTTTCATGCGCAGCCACCGAGCCCATGTCCCCTTGTGTTTTGACAGTTTGAAACAAAAACTCAGTGGTGAGGTCTGTCTCACTGCAACTTGCCAATTTCTCCCCTACAAGCTAGTCTAGAGAAAATTTTGAATCTTGATTCTGTCACCCATATAATGTTATCTCTCCCTCCCAGCAAGTATTAGTTGAAGATTGATAAGCTTGCCCTCATGCAAGCTGTTCATATAAAGATCGACTGGAGAGTTTTAATTTAAATTTCAAGTTTCACTTTTCAATTTATTCCTTTGAGTGTGTGTGTGTTTTTTTTTTGTGGGGGTGGGTGTAATTCTTTCAAAGAGAGTAATAAGTATATGACATTGTGTAAAATAACCTAAATGCTCAAAATTCCTGATTTCTCTTACTGACTCTTCATATATTATTGATTTTAATCATGGGCCTCAAGCGATCATCATTCCTGAAGTTTAAATGAAGCCAGGAGAAATACACTCAGCATCAGTTTCGCCCATTACACTTTGTGCATGTTCCTGAACTTTTCAATTGACATTAAGAACAAAGCAGATGAACCTAGTAGTTTTCATAGCATTTCCCACTCTTCATCTGTGACCCTCACAGAAATCTGTGACTCCGAGTAAGCGGTTTGTGCTTGGCAACCAGCAAAGTCCAGAAAGCTCTTCTGGTTAGCAGCAGAACTTCCACTGAAGCCCAACTCTGCTGGAATGACATGCTGTCCACCAAGCACCTAGCTGAGCACCCAGCACAGTGAGCACTAGGAGGTAAGCCCAACCCTGGGGCTGAGGACGTCACTTGAGTCCAGTTCTCCAAGCTAATGCAGTGCTTTATAGAGGTGCCAACCCTGGGCAAGATAACACTGACTTGAGTAATTCACAGTCCTTTCCCACCAGCTTAGGTTCTTTCTGGATGTTCGATTGAAGTTATTTTTTATTTGTCCCAACAGTGTCTCACTTACACCTTATCCTCTAGCCCAGTCACTACAGATTGTTCACTTGAAGTGATGAATGCAAGCGAAGTCAGGTTGGGCTGTGGGGAAGCTTCAGGAACGGAAGAGTAAGTGGGAGAGGCCTGGCAGTCCTGGAGGCTGGACTCAGCCCTGTACAAATTTCACCCCACTGATGCTTCTTAAAAAAAAAAGGTTTTTTTTCCAAAATTTATTGTTAGGCTACTTCACATAAAAATCCAGATTTCTTATTTCTCTAAAAACTCTAAAGATCTTTTTTATTGTTATAATTGGGTGAAATTCTTTATTTATTTAAGAAACAGAGCTCTCATCTATTGGCTTACGGCCAAAATGCCCAAGGTAGCTAAAGTTGAATCCAAGCCAGGACAGGAATGCAATCCAGGTCTCTCATGTGGGTGGCAGGAACACAGGCTCTGAGCTTTACAGATACAATACCTCATTAGACAAGAATATATATCCACGTAAGTTTTTCATGAACACTCACCTATGTATTGGAAAACATGAGAACTGGCACAGATGTGGACAGCAGTGAATGCAAGAGAGTAAATAGGCTTTCATTCTCTGAGTCTCTTCAGTCCGAAGATGTTAAAGCACTGCACCGTCACTGAGGTTAGTAGGGTGCATTAAAGCAGGCCACAAATGTGAACCATGTTTGTAATTTTAAATTCCCATGCAGTTATTTTAAAGAAGTAAAAAGTAACACTGAATCTTCATCAAAGCTTTTATTCAACCCAAGACAAATAGAAAATACTGTCATCTCAATGTGTAACCAACATGAACACTATTAATTTTTCCATGTTTTAAATTAAGGTATTTTACCCAGATAGCAAATCTTGATTTGGATACAGCTACTTCTCAAAACTACATGTGACCTGTGGCTGCTTTATTGGACGGGTCAGGTATAAATAAAAATCACTTCCTTTCCTATAGATTAATTAAGTGAGAGCAGGTGGAGAGTGCATATGAATTTCCCGCAGCTCTCACAAGGAGCTGGGGAGGCCAGGCAGGAAATTGATACCCTGCTGATACAGGAGACACATCCTCTGGGTTCTTCCCCTCTCCTACCATGGGACCCTCCCTCTGGTCTTCCATGTTTGTCTCCTTCTCTCTTCGCCTAACCAGACAGTGTTGTCCTGTGGACAGCAGCTAAGGAGTGGGCTGGATTCCCAGCTTGTCCCTGGCAGGCTAATAACCTTGGGCTAGTTACTTAACCACCCTGGTCTCAAATTCCTTTTCTATGAAATAGGATTAGTTTCTCCATCACTGAGTCGTGAGGATTAAATAAAATCATAAATGTAAACTTGCTGGCACCAATCAGACATTGCAGACTTTTCAAATTTTTAATGATTACTTTTCAACATGTGTACGCACTTGGTAGAAGGGGTGATGGGAAGAAAGAATTGGAGATGAATTACTTTTTTAATATATGGTAAAATTCCAGGCTGTCCTCTCCTCCTTCCTCTTCAATACCTGGTGCTTACAATCTGTCGGGTGTTAGTAAAAAGCAGCCAGAGCACAGGTTATGCAGTCATCCCAGGATCGTGGGCATCAGCAAAGAGTCTGTTGTCCCCAGAGCTTGCCCCATCAACGGCAAGACCACTGATAAGAGGGAGATGCTTCAGTGTGCATCATGCGTGCCGGCGTCCACCTCCTGCCTCTGCACACTGTCTGAGGAAGCTTCGCATGCAACCCACTATGTATGACAATGGCACGAACTCTACCACTCAAGGACACCATTTTCTCAGCCCCCACAGGGACCCCCACCGTGAAATTGTGCCCTGTGGCTCTCAAGGAGCCTAACCAGACTTAAATTTTCCAGGTCCTACAGCCAGCACCATCCATGCTAGTCTGTCTTCCACAATGTAGCTGAAAACAGTGGCCTCTGCCCGCACCCTAGACGCGCTGAGAAGACTAATGAAAAGAGGGCAAGACTCACCAGTTCATTCTCCTCTCCTTGGTTGAGCAAAGCCCGATGGTCTTCCCTATGACTCTCCTCCATCTAACGAAGAGCCGAAGATCCGGGAGGCTCCCTCCTGGCTATTTGGAGGAATGTCAAAACCACCTGGGCTTCTGTGAGCCCAGATACTATTTGTCATTGCTTTTCTCAGGTGCTTTTAAAATCTGTTTGGCACACACCTTACCTAATAGACTAACAAAGGAAAAAGAGGAAATCCTTCCCCAAGCTGCAGGATTGGGCTGTTAATCCACCTGCCTGTTGCTATTTTTCTTTTATTCTTCCTGGTATTTATTTACTGAGCTAGATGTGAGTGCTGCCCTACTTAAGGAATGATGGAGGAGGGAGAGTTGTTGAACCTGAAAGGTAAATATTGTCATAGGCTGTACATAAGTGTCACAGCCGAAGAGTGGGTATGGACACTTTGCTAATAATCTTGGATGAAAGGTGGATAAAGTCCTGTGATCTTTGGGAAATTGTTGAGCATGTTCAGGGTGGCAATGAAAATTGAAGGGGAAGAGGTAGGCTCAAAAAATGCAGGAATCATTTGGAATCAGAAAAATTTGAATTCTAATCCCTGCACTATGGATGACTTTGGAAACACCACTTAAAATCTGAATTTTGGATTTTTAGTATGTAAAATGTCAACAGTAATTACAGGGTTGATTTGAGAGTTTAAGATGGTATTTGAAAAAGGCCAACTTTAGCACCCACCACACTCAATAATGTGTAAGTAATCATCATCATCATAATCATAACACTAATCAAGAAGAGAGTCTTTTAAAAAGCAAACTGCAACAGTGATTTGATTACTTTCATTTTTCCTCTAAAGGTGATAAAATTTTTTCAAAAAATTGAAGTGGTTGGAGGAAGGAGGAGCTAGAAAGGTTAAATATTAAAGACAAAATGCAAATTCCTACACCTGTATAATCACCAGCAAATTTGATGTTTCAGCAAAACATAGACTGTGATCCATTCAGGGGTTAATTTGTTTGTGACTGAAAACAAAACAAAACAAAAAATGTGTCCATTAATTCCATGCTTTACATTGAATGAAATACTTGCCGCTTTGACAACAGAGGAGAATGCTCCACGTGTGAAAATGACTAGTGAATGACCCTGGACTCTTCTCTCACCAAGGGAGGTCAAAGTGCTCTCTGGCCCAGGCAGAAGTCACAGCTTGTCATGTCAGAGTTGAAGAAAGGAATTCTGGATTTTGGCAAAGCCTAATTTCAGAAACGAGTGGCAGTCACTATCTCTCAGCTCTTTTCCTTCCTGCTAACATAGCACCAAATTTGAGTAGCAAAAATACCAAGGATAAGCTACGATTTGTATCAAACTGGATCCATTATCCAGTTTTAAACAATGACACAGAAGGGAATGATATCTGGGGACAGATGGCTTCCTGGGAAGAATTTGTTTTCCTAACCTATCCTTTATTCCTCCATCTGAAAGCAGCGTGTGAGGATGCAATGCTTGGGGCATGGCAGCCATCTTTAGATCATGAGGAGGATGAGGGATGCCGTGATAATGAAGACAGAAAAAGGATAGCAAACCTTACCACTGATCCACTGCCCAAGCCTAGAAATACCTAGCTGCAAGTACCATGCTGCATTCATAATTAAGTGGTCTTTTTCAAAGTCACATTGTTTAGGTTTCCTGTTACTTAAAAGCCAAAAGTAGAATGGAAACACTCATATCCACTCCATTCAGGTTTTACTCTGCATAAGCATATTGAACACAAGATTTCCAGGCTTGTGCAGGCCCTCGAATACAACAGTGGAAAGGAGACGATCACTACCTGAGAAAGTTTACAGTTGCTTGGGAGAGACAACAGGTAAACAGCCTCTTCAATAGGACAGATACCAAAATCAAACTCACTGGGGGTAAGAACACCTTGTCAGAAGCGCACAATGTCTATTCTGACATTTCAAAGATATGCAAAAGTCAAACAAAGGAGGAGTGTGGGGATAGTGGCAGACAGTGAGCACATTCTAAGCCATGGAACAGCATGAGTGTAAAGAGTCAAGAGAGATAGGAAGTATATCTATTTTGGATACTAAGAGAAATCAAAGCAAGGCTTGAGAATAGAGGCAAAGACGGGGTAACGAATGATACAGCTGATGGCGATATAAACAGGTGTGTTTGGCAAGCCAGCACTTGTAAACCATGACAAGCAGGTTGGTCCATTCTTTGGATGGTCAAGTTTGTATTCAATAATACTGATGTTCTTATGAGTCTTGAGTTCTTATGTGAGACATCAGAGGACATGGTGGGTGGAGAAAAGAATCACATCTGCTTTAAACTCTACCTCCTAGAAGATCTGCAACAGACATTAAAGCATAAGGGCTCTAATGCCAGATGCTTACAAACAATCTGGAGATGCACCCACATCTCAGTGGTTTAGCCAGCTCCCTGAAGCCTTGTGGGCAGCAAAGTCACCTATTTTGTAGGTGTGTTGAAGGACTGAGGCTTCTTGTATGATAAGCAGCTTTGGCATTGGTAGGAGTGGCTTCCTCCAGGTCACTCTACGGTATTTCTACTATCAAACTCAGGAGATTGAAACTGAAGCTGAGACCCTCCAAATCTTTTCCATCTGAAGAGACCAGATTCCCAATTACCTGTGGCTGGAAGCGGAACACAGGGCACTTTGATGAACTCCAAAGACAAACTCTTTACTAACGAGGAGGAAGTTATCAAGATGATATGGAATAAGGCAGGGGCCTCCAGAGACAAGAGGGGAGGAAAGACCCAGAGGAGAGGACACAAAAAGGAGTGAAATGTTCTCCCTGCAGCTCTCTAAAGAGCTTTCCTACCCAGTGTGAAGCCACAGGAAGTAACTGAGAGAGTATCTGAACTCCCTCCATGATCCCGGATCCAAATACGATCTCCAGAAAAAAAAAAAGGAAGCGATATGGAGCAAGAAAAGGAAATGGAGAAAGATTTGCTCACACTTTAAAGTGAGGAGCTCTGAGTAGACTCTGGGCTCACAGCCAGATTTCCTACATCTTAGTCCAGTTGATTTCCACCAGGAAATTCTGCCTCCTCTCTTGCTATATTTTCTCTAGAACACTGCTCTGAATACTGCAGAAATTGAAGAACTTGGGATTACATGAATTTTGGGGGCATGGTGTGCCTTCACCTCTGTTCTGTGAGGTTTGTTCAATAAAGATGCGATGGGCATGGTGGAATAGATCAGAAGCACATTTTACCCTCCTATTTGCAGGAACACAGTTCTCAGACCCCACTTCCCATGACCTAAAGGGGAAACCAGTAGGGATTCAATCCCAATTGAATGTCTCATCTGGATTTCAGCACTCTCTTGCTGTTTTCTCTTCTAAACACTGGAATCTTACTGGAGCACTCAGTTTCACTAACTCTCATGAATACCTACATGAGCAAGATGATTTAATTAAGACAGGCTGATGGCTATAACAGCAACAATTTTCAGTGTTTTAACAAAGCAGCAGTGCAGAGCTAAGCTTGCAATGGCTGGAGGGCATTGGTGGAGCAGTAGAGGCAGGGTGTCCTCCAAGCAGTGATTTGGAGACCCAGGCTCCTTCCATCTGTGACTCTACCACCATCAGCATGTGGTTTCCAAGGCAGCTGTGCTTATATGATGGGGGGAAATGCATGAAAGGTAACAAATGAAGGTTGCCATGGAATCATCCTGGAAGAGGTGCACTGTAAGTACATTAGAAGATTAGCTAAAACTCAGTCAGGCGACCACTCCTGCCTGCCAGGTCAGCTAGGAATTGGTCTATCTGTATGCCAGGAAGAAGAGGAAGTGGGTTTGGTGGTCACCTAGCAGACTCTGCCATGCAAATCCTACAATAATCCCAGGCATGGGTAAAGGAGTAGATCAGACTCCATCTCAAAGGACTCAGAGTTTGGAGAAAGAAAAAAACTATGTAGAGGTGACTGTTATGCAAGTAGAAGTGAGGAAAGCTGTGTTATTGCAGAAATAAGAAGGGGCTACAGAAACCGGAGAGGTTCTGTATCAGGAGACAAGCGAGGAAGTGACCTATGATATCTGATGGAGTGGACTTGTGCGCACTTTGCAGCACCACAAATGTTCAGAAGATATTTGAATTTCATGCATCACTAATCCTCTATCTGAAATATGGTATCAAATGTTCTTTTTTCTTTAATTGCACTCAATCTGTTCATGGCTGGAGCCAATTAGCCCCAGCCTCTTCCATTCCTAACCACCCCAAACCAAAGCAATTCACACATTCCCTAAAGACTGGAACAGAAACGAGGGAGATTCCCCTTAAGAAACACAAATATGGGCTCTTTGAGTCACAAGTGCAATCGTGGCCTTTCCTACTCTTTTTCTCAAATTTTGGAGATCAACCAATTGAGAATTCAGTGGAATATATCAAATCTTACATGCACAGAAATAAAATTTTATCTTAGCTGGACACACACAGCTTAAAAGAGCTTTCCCTTTCTATTCTTCAGCATTTTCCCATCCCATTAACTCAGCAAACAACTTCTGAGCTCTCGGAGCAGCATTAGGACTGAAGACGGAGCAGAAATGCACGAGACAATAGTACTGCCCTTTGTGAGTTCAGACTCAAGTTAGGAAATGAGACCAGACCACAGCTCCACTCTAGGAGAAATGACAGAACGGGACAGAGAGGACAGAGAAAAGGCAAGAAAACGGAGACCGGAGATCCAGAACTTAGAGGACTAGCAAAAGTGTCTAGTCCAGTGGTTTAGCCATGTTTGGGGGCCACAGGAAGCTTCGAGAATATGGTGAAATGTATAGTTCTCCTTTCCCAAGAATAATGCATATGTGCACATGTGTATAAAATTTTACTTATATCAGATTTTACTTACCTTTTATCTGGTCCAATGCCTTCATTTGATGGTTCTTTATTAATTTCTCAAACACATATTTATTGAATACTCACTTTATAGCAGGCTCAAAGTGTCAGGGGGATAGCAGGGATCAAACCAGATAAAAGCCACTGCCCACAGGACACTGACATTTTGGTGGGGAGAGACTGACAAAACAAGTCAGTAGGTAGAATCCATAGTTTGATAGAGTGAGATTTCTACAAAGGAAAATAAAGTTAAAAATGTGAATAGACGGTGCCAGTGAGGCTGGTGAGGAGGGTGGGGCTATGGGACAGGTTGAGTTGCATTTTAAAGGCAATGGTCAAGGAAGGCACTCTTGGCGAGGTCACATTTGAGCAAAGCAGCAGAAGCTAAGGACATGTGGCTACATAGGCAAGGAGAACGCTAAGTAAAGAAAAAAATCAAGTGCTACAATCTTGCAGTCAGGGGCCAAGAGGAAAACCAATGTGCCTAGGGTATTGTGGCCAAAA